TACACTTTTCCTTCGGGTAGCCTTCCCAGCGATGCCAAGCAACTTCAAGTACTTTCAGAAGCCTGGACCGATGTCTTCATAATGATACCAAAACTTGGACTACCCCATTAAAACCTATGAAATGCTTCCCAACCCAGTTTATTTGGTATCAAAGAAGAAGACGGAGTTCCAGGGAACCAAAATATAGTGGCAATAGCCACTCAAACCCAAAGCCACAGGTACCAGATTCCACGCTACCTTAGGGAAACATTCTCAGAAAGGCTGATTCCGTTGTCTGTTCCAGATGGTTGGTCCCCAACCCAAGCTGACAGTAGATATCTCAGGGGCACTTGAAGGCATCTCTCTGGATTGCTGGCACATGGGTTGATTCAGCAGCTCTCTACAGATAATTCTATACTCCAGACTCTGGGAAAAACACTGGCAAGAACCCAAATGTCAGCATTACCCACTGTAATAACAACCTTTGGGGGTCAGGACACTACTGCTGCTGCTTACTGTGGGGAAGGAGATCAGGGAAGCCATTCCTGAAATAAATAAACCAAACCAGTTGCCATTAATTCTGACTCGGTGACCTCGTGTGCATGCAACAGAAATGCACTCCACAGCGTTTCCATGACTGTCACCTTTGGAAGGGTGCTCACTGCCACTCATTTGGTTAGCAGTTGAGCACTTAACTACATGCACCACCGGGGTCCCCCTTTCCAAACCCTGACCCCTTGGACTTGTCTGAGAAAGGTAAGACTCTCTTGGTTTTGAGCCATTCAGATCAGTAGCCTGCAAGAGAAAGGGCCAGGTCTTTCCCTGTGGCTGTGTACTCTGACCATGCTCCGGGTGCTGGGGAGGACGGCAGATGCAGGAGGATCATTTGGTGAAGGTCAGCCCTGGGGACAGGCCGAGTTTGAAAACGGGGTCCCTGACTCACTGCTTGTTTTCCTTCAACAAGATCCCCCCTCCCTTAAAACGACCAGCACATTGAGCTTTCTTTACTTTCCTGTCTTCTATAATTAAATCCTTGGCACTAATAACTTTCTTCTTTACCTATTTTACATTTCATTTTAACTCTTATTTCTAATAATAATAAGTTGGGGGGCAGGCAAAGGTGAGGTCAGAATGTAGCTGCAGGTTAAAAAAAAATTTTTTTTTTGAACTGCAAGAGTCCTTAAAAACATCCTTACCAACTTCTTAAATATCTCAGATGGTAATTAGGATAAGCCGAGAAATGAGCTGACGTGGCCAAGGTCACCTGGGTAATTAAGAGCAAAAGAAGCTCCCTGGTCTCTTCACCATTCCTTACCCCCCTCCCTAATATCTCAGGCATCCTGTCCCCTCCTGGAGTGACATCTGTTTTCACTTCCACGTGGAATCTCATCAAATTGGAGGACAGCTCCTCTGTTGTTTGGGGTTCCACAGGATTTAGCACCAAAGATAGTTGCACTAGTGTATTCCACAAAGTAAGGGTGCCCCATGTTCAATCAACTTGAATTTGGGTGGACCAAAATTCCTTGGCCTCTATTGGGAAGCCTCTCTCTAGAGATCGTTTCTGCAAGATCTATGGGGTGGAGGAGGCACCAAATCTTTTGTCTGTTGATTAGAGGAGACGTGGTGGCCCTTCCCCCCTTACCCTCACCCCCACCCCCAGCAAGTCACTGACAGTTTGGTGGGGGAGATAAGCCTGTGTGCCCAGAGCATTCACTGACATTCACACTGGAGTCTGCTTGCACGTAAGTTCACATAGGTTTTGGTCTGGTCTCTAACAAGTAGATTTGGTGTAGAGGGACTTGGGTGGCCATACTGGCAGATGCGGTGTTAAGTCAAGACTTCTTTAACTACATTAGGATCTTAACAATAAATACAATTTCACCAGTGCTTTATCAGTGCATGGAAAAAGCTAGAAGGGAAAACAAGACCAAGCTTTACTTCTGGGCCTACAGTAGTTTCAGATGCTTTAGGCTCTGAGTTGCTGTGAGGGAAAATGAAGGAGGCCAGTGCCCAACCTTGGCCAAGCCCAAGCCTAATAAGCACTCAGAGCCAACTGCCTCTAAGCCATTCACGACCGGAGGGGGGCTGTCTGGGGGGTCCAGAGTGACTTGCTATGAGAAGAGTGGTATCATGAGTAGGTACCAAAGAAAGGCACGTAGATGCCTCGTTTTGCGGGTGAGGACAGTGAGTCGCAGTGGGCTGAGTCTAGTTAGTCCTGGTCCAGTAGGAGAGGACTAGCTCACTCCAGCCCCAGCACCTCCAGGACACTGGCGTCCCTCATCAATGGTCACAGTCCTATTTTCTGCTTCTTTCACTACCCAAACATGTCTTTCCGTTTTCTTACCTGCATAGCTTAAGAGGACCACCTGCCAAGTAGAATCTACACAGAGGCTACAGCTAGCTACCCTTTCTCGCCCCCTTCCATCGGCAGCTTCTTAGAGTGAGCACAATGAAGATCCGACCAGGAGCCTAACCCAGAGGCCCGTGCGACCGGATGAGACCAGGACAGCCTGACCATTTCCGTCTCCTTCATTCAGGCCATGGAGACCCAAAGCCCCCATGGGAAAGCCTAGCACATTCATGTCCAGTGGTCACAACCATTTCCATCTCCTCTCTACTCCCCCTTCTCCCCAGGTCATCAAGGAGTATGGGGTTCGAAAAACACACAGCTAAGAAGAAATGAAACCACAGTACCTGTTTGGGGACACAGGCATCAACAGGACCCTTTGAGCCTCACCTCTCATCAGAAGATACCCCCACCCCAGTTCCTCCTTTCCCAACGCCTTTCTCTTAGCTACCCTGCTCAGACCAGAGTGTGTTTCTATGCAGTATCACCACCCCCAGACAGAGGAGGGCCTCTCAGTGAAAAGACAAAGGGGTAATAGCAGTGAGATAGCACAGGGTTCTCTTGATGCAGTCGGTCCAAAGAGCTTTCCATTGAAATCCAAGGGGTTGAGTCCAGAACACTGATAGATCCACGCTGATTCCCAGCTTGCCTCCCTACCTTCCCAGTCCAGCTGAGCAGCCTCGATGATCGCAAATCCCACCCATGGCCTACAATCTGAGCACAGCTCTTTGCTATGGGAGTAAAAACATTTGTTGGTCTAACAAAAAACGTAAAACTACATACACATAGTTCAGTCCTGAAACCCCACACAGGGGTGCCCACACTTCAGGGGCCTCCAGCTGGTTAGGATTCCCAGGCTGCCAGCGGTCCCTTAATCTGGCAGAAAAGGGGTCAGGTCAGAAGCTCCCAGAATCTCCACCTCACCAAAGGCAATCTGGGGTGAGGTGGAGGGGCTGGATGGCCTGGGGGGCGTGGGCTTCCTCCTCCCCACCAAGAAGGCTCAATGGGGCCTGGAGATGTGTTTCCAGGGGGGCATTTCCTTGTCATGTGTCAGAGAGACCTGGAGATCCGACCCTGTTGTTGTCCTTGGCAGTGGAGTGACAGGAAGGCAGTCATTCCCCCGGTGCTGAGGCAGAGGGTGCCCAGATGTTTTATTCTCCCTCCCTGGTCAGGGGCCATCCTCATTAAGATGCCAAGCGCAAGCCGTGGCAGTGGCCACTCCTTGGACATCTGCCAGAGACACCTCGGCCCCTCTCCCCTCCCCCCCCAGCCCAGGAAAGCCATCCCTCAGCCCTTGCGTTTTCCCAACCGCTCAAAGGCAGATGCATCAGTCCTGCCAGGACTGAAAACGTGAGGAGAATACCAAGGGGCCGGGCGCAGGTGCCATAGGAGAATAGATTCTCCCCTGCTGGCTCCTGCCCACCCCAGCCAGTGGCCTGGCTCCCTGGAACGAGCACCGCCCCAGCCTCCAGCTCAGTCTGGCTCCCTGCCCTAGCAGTGGTGGGGTTTACTTAGTGCTTGGGAGAGGCTCAACAAATGGGGCCCCGGGTAGGGGAAGCAGGGGCAAAATGAAGAGGGCGTCTTGACCCTCTAGGAACTCCGTCTCCTGGGGTTGGAACTCTCAAGCCTGCCGTGTCCAGTCGCAGGACAAGAAGGAGGAAAAGGGACTGTTCACTACCCCAACCACGCCAAATCAGCCCCGCTGCCACCAGTGCTCGCTGACTCAGAGGGACCCTGTAGGACAGTCTCCCTGTCTCACAGGGCTGCCAAGACCAGAAATCTCTAAGGAAGCAGATGGCCTCATCCCCCGCCTGCCTCCCCAAACAGCTGATGGGTTTAAACCACCGACCTCTCCATTCGCAGCAGAATGCGATAGTCACGGTGCCACCAAGGATTCTTTCACAACTGCCCAGGGGGCTAAAGGGAAGCGGGGCAAGGGGTGGGGCGGAAGGGGGTGTCTTTCCAAGGATGGAAAGACAGTGGCAGTGTCTTGTCAGGGTTCAGGTTCGTTTTTTGTTTTTGTTTTTAATCCCCCAAATCTAGTTCTTGTCAGAGGATAGATGGTACATCCCTTTCACGTGGAGCATGGAACTTGACCGTGGATGACCCTTCGGTAGGTGCAGTGTGTCACAGTTTATGGTTTGTTGCCACTTGTTCAGGGTTTACCCGTAGGCGCCATCACTGTATTCTCGAAAGCATCAAGTCTATATTTTTAAGAACAGACACATTACAAAACTGTCTTGAAGTAGAGGGAAGGCGTGGGGCAACGGGCAGAGGGCAGGAGCGCCCTGCGTGGTGGACTCCGACTGCCCCTGCGCCTGCGCAGAGCTCCCGCAGGGATCACGATTGAACGGCGATGCAGGGCGACCCGCCCCGGCTCATCCCCACAGGAAGATTGTCTTTCTACATCAACAAGGGTTTCTGTTCCCAGACGCAAGAGCGAAAGGAGCATGGGCCACAGCTTAGGTCAAAGGGACTCCTCATTTGCATGAATAGTATTGAAGATTTTCTGAGTTGTTGAGCAAAGTCTCATGGTTTTCTGTATCAAGCAGTTTCTCTCTGTCTTGGTGAAGAAATATCACTCTGTAGCTATAGATAATAGTTAGATATATAAATATATATGTATATACATATATGCAGATATATGCATATATATATATGACAAACTGCCTTACAGGGTTTTCCTTTCTTTTTATGTTTTAATTTTTTTTTCCGTTTTCAGTGTTGTATGTGTAGCAGGCACTTGAGTTTATATGAAGATGTTTGCTCAGTCAAGGGTGGAAGGGAGGAGTGGAGGGTGGCAGGGGTCGATGTGAGGCAAGGATAGAGGAGGCAACCGAGGAGGGACCCTTGACCACGGGCCACCACTAGCCAAGGATGTCCAGGTAGATTGGAGTGGCCTTCCCCAAAGCGTGGAGGATTTTATAGATCTCTTTGATATTTAGTCGCTGCTGTGGTTCCCTCTGCCAACAGCCCAGCATGACGTCGTAGACCTCCTTGGGGCAGACTCTGGGCCGCTCCAAAACACGACCTTGGGTAATACACTCAATGACCTGGAAAAGAGCAGAGACAATTTAATCATTCAATCATATTAACAGCATTGTGTAATCATCATCACAATAAATTTTGGAACAGTTTCTTCTCATTGTTGTTAGATCCCCATTTCCACCCAACCTTCCCTGCCAGGCACCTCTAAAGTCAAATTCACTGCCACAGAGTAGATTCTGACTCATAGGGACCCTAAAGGAGAAGGGTACAACTGCCTCTGAGTTTCCAAGGCTCTAACTCTTGATGGGAGTATAAAGTCCTATCTTTCTCCCTTGGAGCCGGTGGTGGTTTTGAACTGCTGACCTTGCAGGTCGAAACTCACTACACCACTAGAGATCCTGTCTCTGTAGATTTACCTCTCCTGGATTCGTCTATAGAAAATTACTTTTAAAAACAGCAGCAGAGAGTCAACAAACACAAAAACAAAGAGAAAACAGAAAAAACAAAAACAATGTTATACTGGGTCTAAAGGAAGATAAAATAACAAGATGATATATTTTATCTGATTACATTTGCCACAATGGATTTTATAATGCTCTTTAATGGGAAGGTGTGGCAGTTATATAATTGTCAATTTGAGAGGATTAAGAGTAAAGGGGTGAAGTCTAGCCTGTCAATCAGGTCATAGCCAACGAGGCCTCAGTGTGGGCATGGCCTTCTCCTGAGGATTCTGGGAAATCCTGTATTTCTCCCTGAAGCAGGAGACACTGTCTAGCTCAGCTCACTCCTTGGGAGACATTGCAGTTGACAAGACACATGGAACTATGTTCGTGCCCAGAGCTGGAGGAACCACATGGAGACCCCTGCCAGCACTGAGATGCCTCTACCACCACTGGATCCACAAGACTTTTTACCTACTGGCTTGTGATCTTCCTGCATTTGTCTTCATTGCATGTGTTACGTGAGTCTGAAGAGGAATTTGTAGACTAGTACTGGACATATGGTCTAATATCAGACTTATGGTCTTGATCTGGACTGGGCTGGGATGTTTTCTCAATATCCAATTGCTCTTGTATATAAAGTTCTTTCCTATACACATGAGTGTCTATATAATTTGTTTCTCTGGTCTACCCAGACTCACATAGAAGGTTATTCACATCCCTGGACTACAGTCAGAGGGAATTCACCAGGGGCCTAAACCATATGAGGACCCTGCAAGTGGATGTTTGACTTTCATTGTCATCCATATCCTTCTGCAAACCAGATGTTCAGAATTTAAGCTCTGATACCTTTCCCTCCTTATGATTTGGATTTTATTACTTACAATGCTTGGATCACACATCTGTGGATTTAGTTGATACCTCACATAAATGGCTGCTTGTTTTAAGACAAGCCTTGAAGACCCCAGACACTATTCTTTCAGATAGCAAGGCACCATCTGTTCTCTTCGCCATATTTTCTACAGCACCCTTACCATCAGCGATCTCTTCATGAAGGCAAATATCGAGCAGAGCTATGTAATAAGTAATTATGAGGGGGTACCCAAAGAAACCCAGGTTTTTTTCTCCTTCAAAGTTTGTATTTATTTGGTTTTTACAAAACAATCTTATTAAGGCAAAGTACTCTCCATTACCCTTAATACATTTGTCAAATCTGCAATTTCATTCTTGGAAACATTTTTCAAACTCATCTGTTTGAATGGCTGACAGTACCTCCCTCTTTTTCTTCAGCCTGTCTAAATTGTCAAATCGCTGTCCTTTCATGTCCCACTTCATTCGAGGAAGCAAAATGAAGTTGCATGGAGCTGGGTCAGGCAAATAATGTGCATGGGGTGAGAGAGGAATGCTGCCTTTTTCTCCCCACCCCCCCAACCCCCCCACGCCCCACAAACTGGAACATTGAGATGGTTGTGTGAGCAGGTGCCTTGTCGTAGTGGCAAAATCAGTCCCCTGTCTGATGCAATCCAGGCTTTTGTTGTTGTACACTGTTATGCAATCTTTTCAGAACCTCTACATAGGAAGCTTGATTAATAGTCTGACCTGGTGGAATGAACTCAAATGCACTACCAGTTGACATTTTCATCCATTCGGTAAGCTACCAGAAATCCAGAATGGTTTGTCATCAATTGATATTTCACCTGTTTTGAAATGAGAAAACCACTCGTACACTTCAGTTTTTCCCATAGTGCTGCCCTTATAAGCTGTGTTCAACATCGCAACAGTTTGCAGCATTTTCTGAAGCAGGAAACAAAATTTCACAGCCTTACGCTGTTCTCGTAAACCAGCCATCACAAAAAACTAGGTTTGAGAGAAACTGATTTTACAAAAAAATTCACTGTGACCAGAAAGAACCTTCCCAGGTGATGCCACTAAATGCACTAACAAATGCATACCATGAAAATTCTACCCAGCACAGCTTTTTCTTCTTCTTTTTTTTTAAGTACTCTCTCGGATTCTTAGATTGGGGCTAGAATTACCTGTAAGACTAAATTAAATCCATTCATATCTTTTGTCCCATGGTTTAAACACCTCTCTGGTTCACTTTAGAGGCCTCATTATAATGTCTAGAGAACATTATAAATTAAACTCCTGAGCCATAAGGTGATTCCCTTGACAGTATCAATAATTTAGCCAATAGTATGGAATTTAAACCACTGTTGACAAAAGGAAAGTATACAAGTGTAGGCTGGCTTCAGACCCCAATACAGGAATTGTTGACTTGTACTGATTAAACTCTTAAGTGACTACACATTTATTACACAATGCAGGTTGGTTATAGGGCAACATGTTCAATAACACTCATTCACAAAAGCAGAACTATGCTTGCCAGACTGATGCAGGCCATAAGAAAGCAAAGAGGGCATAAAAATAGTAAATATATGGTAGTCCTTGGCAACGATCCATTGAGTAAAAGATTTGAACCAAAAGCCCGCCATGGGACAGCAGTTATGTGCTTCTTCTCACACTTCGGCAAGTCAAAGTCCAATAGAGTATGTCGTTTCCTTAAATCTGCTACAGGTGAGTTTGAAGTAACAGATAGCCACGTTCTTCGTGGGGTTGCCACATAGAATCCCTCTGGTGTGCCCTATGAAGGATGTTGTGCGACAGCCCTGGATGACCCAGGATACGTTCTACAGGCGAATGGTACTTTAAGCTTTGTGGCTTGTGTTCAACAAGAGGCAACAGCTTCATTGATGAGCTTCACTGCAGTCAAGAGACCCACAGACACTGGTGAGAGGACAGCTCTGAGTTTCTTATCTGACCTGTGCCTGGTTTTCAAGAACAATGATTAGGACTGGCTGCTCAAGGTCCATGCTGTGCTTTACATTCCACCCCTTGGGCCAGGCCAGGCTTTCCTGACTTCCCCTTTACCTGACTTCTAATACAAACTCTTCCTTTTACTTCACTCTTTCTCATTAGTTGTGTGCCTTGTTTGAATGCCTCAGCTACATTCCATTCCTTTGTCCTCCGGTAATGAGGATGGCTTGTGGGTTATATCACTGTTTCGGAAGCCTGTCTGACTTTCAAACATCAGAGCTTACTACCAAAGTTTGGATACCTTCATGCCCGTCTATCCTTGGTCCCCACCTCCAGGGAAGTTCCTCTCTCAGTCTCAGCCTCTTCACTCAAGGACACTCGGCTCTAAGTCATCATTTAGGACCCTTTCCCCGGGAGTCTGGTCAGCTCTTGCTCTCGGAACTAAACCATGTATCCTCTAACTTAATGTCCTCTGAACACTAAGGCTAACTGGTTTACCACCAACTAACGGGGTGCAAATGAATGAACCTCTCAGATTCTCAGCCTCCTCATCTGTACAATGAGGATAAAATACATGCCTTGCCCACTTCCTGATAGTGTTGTAGGCCCAACAAAAAAGTCTGTATGGTCTGATATATTGAAGGGAGGGCAATAAGAAGGGGCACTGAAAAAACAATACATGGCCAGACCAACCCCACTGGCCACTCTAGATCACAGCCTGTATCTGCAGATCACTTTCCATCCCTTCTGAGCTGACACGGAATATGTGCATTTTCAAGATTTTAATTTCCAGCTTTCACGTTTCCCTAACTCTCCCACTGTGTCACCTTAACCTGGACTTCAGGGTCCTCATTTGAAAATTGGTTGTGATGTTGAGAACATGCAACTATGCAGAATAGTCTCATTCAAAAGCTGAACAAATATGTTTTCTACTCTCTGCCCCCATTAGTCTGTGCTCAGTTGGGCAAGAAAATTGCCGTGGTTCCTTTGTATCATCTCATGCCACTCCTATGAGTGCTTTGTCCAGGGCAGCGGTTCTCAACCTTCGTAATGCTGCCACCCTTTAATACAGTTCCTCATGCTGGGGTGACCCCAACCATAAAATTACTTTCATTGCTCCTTCATAACTGTCATTTTGCTACTGTTATGAATCAGGCGACCCCTGTGAAAGGGTCATTAAACCCCCAAAGGGCTTGCAATCCACAGATTGAGAACCGCTGGTCTAGGATATTATTTCATGCCACTCTGACTCTGGGAAACCTGCTCAAATTGTCACTGGGCCAGCCCCTTCCTGGCCACGTTCAGGCCATTGGGGAGGGAGTGCTAGGCTCCTTTCCTTACCAGACTGAGACTGATATGTCTCCCATTTCTCATATTTCCTATTCATATTAGAGCCCCATTTCCACTCTCCATTACCTTCATCTCCATGAAAAGAGATTCAACTCACATTGGAGTTGGAGTTGCTGATACTAAGTGCAAAAACCCTTACCTCATCGTGTTTCTCCCAATAGGAAACAACTCTGTTTGTCAATTTACATAAATAAACCTATTACAAGGAGCTGCCAGTAAGTGGGCCCCCTGGCAGGCAGCATGAAAGAGATGACTGGGTACAGCACTCACCAAACTGTCTTAGAAGAGACCACAACTGAAGAGACCACCTCGTCCTATATGTCCCGGACAAGTCCTCTGCCAAAACCAACAGACCCCTCAGCCCCAAACTCTTAACTGGTGTCACCATACTACATGGAGGCTGTGCTCAGGGTACACATGTGTGTGCATGAGTGCATTGATAAATATATGCACGTGTGCATGGATGTGGACTTATGTGAGTGCATGCGTGTTTAGTGTGAGTCTATAAAAATGAGGTGGCTTCAAAGAGTTCAAAAATTCTATTCTCTTGATTGTGTTTTTCCATGAGCGTTTTAAAGACCCCTCATACATATGTGCATGTGTGCATATCTCAATATGTGTGGGTTTACTAGCAATCCAAGTCCTCCAAATAACAGTATTCGTTTTGTTTTTAAGTACCATACTAGTGGTCTGTAGCATAAAATCTTACATTTTTAGCAAAGGTTGTTAAAATGGGTTCAGCTACTTTGGGAAATGTGGTCAAGCCCCACTGAGCTTCTGAATGTTGAGATAGTGTAGATTTACAGAAATGCCTCCCTTTCAGACTCTGAAATTCACTTCATTAAGTAGTCAGGGCATAGGAGCAAAGATGAATACAACTTCCAAGATGAGAGAGACTTTTCTTGAATATTTAGTTAAAACCCCAACAATTAAATGTTCATATGATCACTTTTTCTCCAGAAAACAAGAGACCATGTTGCAATTTCTTGAATGTCTGCTGTGTTGGAAAACCTAGTCCCTTGCTGTTTATAACCTGCATCCTATCTCTTCAGCCAATGAGCTTTCCATCCATGTAACTGAGAAGCACCTTGTCTGGCTTTGGAAGCCCAAGAGCGATAGGGCTATCCACCACGCTGGCTGCCTCCCTGCCTGGAGGCTCTCCCCTCTCAGATCTTGGCCAGTCCTCTCCGAGAACCCAATGAGTTACTCTCCGTTTGTCCTGAATTTCAACAAGCCATCTTAATGTGTGTGAAAATAAATGAGCTAACAATGTCAAAATGCTTCTAAAGTGCCTGGCAGTAAATGTTAGCTACTATTAAAAATTATTATTGTTGTAAATTCAAATGATAAAACATTTAAATTTATTTCACGATTTTAATGTATTATTATTTATACAGCTTCATTTTTAATGGAACACCATACACCAATCCATCAATAATCTAAAAGTTGCCTTCCTAATTAACCAGCCTCTCTTTGGTGCTGGCATGCTTCAAGCCTCGGGCACCCAGGTTATTTCTACACGATGGCACAACTGGGAAACCCGTCGTTTTTCTTTGCTTTCTTATTCTCTCCAATGAAAACAATGCTGAGTGTTCTCATGAAAGCAAACTCCGCCATCAACTCAAAGGACCCATGCTCCAGTTTGGACACCGAATGTATGTTTTGGGGGTTGTTTTACACGTATACCTTGTTTCCTACAGTGTGATTTTTCCTACTAACACATGGCTCCCTGTAACGTCTATGCGAACTCCTGTATCCACTTGGCTGCATAAAAGCCCATCTAATATTTGGGAGACTGTGCCCAACGTGTACCTCCCAACAGCCTTTTCCAAATCAAGTTTCCATTTTGCAGGAACCTCCCAGTGCATGAGAAACATTGAGTTTCTGAGGTTTTAAAAAAAAAATGTTAAGAATGGATGGTAAGGATGTTTGCACACAGAGGAGAATGTACCTAATGCCCCTGAATGTTTTCAGCTACTTTGGGAAATGTGGTCAAGCTTCACTGAGCATCTGAACATTGAGCTATTATAGAATTTTTTTAAATGTTGAAAACATAAAAGTGGTTGAAATGGCACATGCTGTATTATATATATTTAACCACAAGCAAAAAGAAGACATGTAACAACCAGCCAACAAGCAAAGAAACACAGATGGAGTTTTCTATCGCCCTTTTCTTTACCTCTGTGTTTGAGAGCTGGAACCATGGCTGCTTCCCGTAGGTGAAGATCTCCCAAAGGATCACTCCAAAGCTCCACACGTCACTCTCTGTAGTGAACTTCCGGTACATGATGCTCTCTGGGGGCATCCAACGGATGGGGAGCATGGTATGTCCTCCTACCTAAAGGGGAAGACAGAGGCATGCACAGAGTAACTAGACAGCCAGAGCCAGTTCTGGCTAGCATACTTCTTGTGGTGATGAACTCAGTTGTTGTTTGTGTGTATTGTTAAGTCAATGCCAATGAACAGTGATGCTATAGGATAGAGTAGGGCTGCTCAGTAGGGTTTCCTAGACCACAGTCTATAGGAAGGAGCCCTGGTGGTGTAGTAGTTACACATTGAACTACTAGCTGTAAGGTTGGCAGTTCAAACCAGCTGCTCCATGGGAGAGAGATGGGGCTTTTTCCTCCTGTAAAGAGTTACAGACTCAGAAACTCATAGGGATAGTTCTAGCCTGTCCAATAGGATTGCAAGAGTTTGGCATATCCACTCGGTAGCAATGAGTTTGATTTGGGGATCTTAAATGGGAAAAGATTTCTAGGGCTTTTCTTCCCCCTAGCCCAGTGCCTGTGGGTTTCGAACAGCCGACCTTTCAGTTAGCAGCAGAGTGGTCAGCCATTGCACCACAGGGTAGATGTACTCTAGGTTCGTCTTATTCTAACATAGCCACACCTTTATGCAACTTGTATCAGAGGGTGAGTGGAGACACTGACATCCAAGACCTAGAGGTTGGAGGCAGCGAGGGTCACAAATGGAGATAAAGCAGGTGGTCCCTTGGTGCTGAGTGTGAAGGGAAATATTAAGACGTGTAGGGAATTGAATCGTATAAATATGAAAGTTCTACCTAACCCACTATGAATAAGAACATATTTTTAAGTTTCAGGCACAAGACTTATTTAGAAATAGAGTATTATGAACTGAATTATGCTTTCTAAAGTATATCGGAATCCCGATGACAAGACCTTTGAAGGCAATACCATTTGGGAGTGGGGATTTCTTTGTTATATTAATGAGGATATTGAAGTGTAGGATGTGCCCTAAACCTCTCACTCCTGACAAATAAAAGGAGCAGTATAGACACAGAAATAAACCAATGAAGCACAAACCAATAGGGCAGAGAGAAATGCCCTGTGGAGATCTCCAAGGATTCTCTCCCAGAGCAGAGTGAACCTTCCATACAGCCAGTACCCCTGGATGCAGGCTTCTAATTTCCTGAGCAGTGGGATAATACATTCTGAGCATAAGGGTCAATCACCTGTAGGATTTCCGCTAGAGCAGCACTAGGATTCTAAGAAGACGTTTCAGATTTGTAAAATTAAGCCTAGTGTCATAAAGAACTAAGGTGGTCCCTAAAGCCAAGAACTATGTCCTTCTAAGGAGAGGACAATTTGGGAACACAGAGACCGAGAGAAGGAAGAGTCCCGTGAAGACAGCGGCAGAAATTGCAGTGACACATCTACAAGTCAACGAGTGCCAAGGATTGCTACCATCTGCCAGAGGCAGGGAAGAAGCATGGGAGAAATATTCCTGAGAGTCTTCAGAAGGATCATGGCCCTGCAAACAATTTGATTTTAAATTTCTAGCCTCCAGAACGATGAGAAAATGTATTTCGGCTGATTTGAGCCACTCAGTTGGTAGCAAGTTTCGTTAGCAGCCCTAGGAAACTAACATAAGGTAGGAGACACGTTTTCAGACTCTACTACTATGGTAAAGCCCAACCCCGAGAAGGACAGAGCAAAGCCAGCAGAATCACTGTGAGAAGGCATCAAGTGTCAGAGTAATTCAAGACACCAGGTTAAAATCCTGGGCCCAGGCAGCTGAGGTCTAATATATCCCAGGGGCACTGAACTTGTAGAACTTTCATTTCACAATCCTGAATTCTTCCCCATGACTTAGGACTCAAGTCAGGTCAGGTGTCAGGTGAAGAGGCCATGTGCTAATAAGAATTCAAGTGGACCACAAGAAAATCCATAACTGCTCTTGGTCAGGTTTCATGGATCAGTATGAGAATCTTTAAAAATAGCCCAAGAAAGTCATCAGTGTTATGTGGGACTACTGATCTGAAATCCAAGGGCAAGTGCGAATGACTAAGAAGGCAGATATTCCTTTACTATGAAAGACATGAGAGAAATGCAGCATTCCTGATGGCCCCACCAGAAGTATTAGACTAAATGGAAGACAATGCACCACATTTTAAAGTACAGGAACAAATTTATCATTAATACACAAAGCATCGCAAGTTGGAACTTTGGGGCAATACTTATCATTGGTAGTTCCAAAAGTGCTTAACTCTGATGAAAAGAGCTTTCTATAAAGATCCTGATGACGTTTTTCCATCTATGTTGGGCAACTTGGGGAAATAAGAATACACACTAAAGAAAGAGTGACTTGATAGGAGACGAGCAATCTTGTTTCTGAAAAAGGAAATTGATTTTGACTTAACCAACATGGAATGTTTCAGGAGATAAATGATAACAGGGATAAAAAAGATTTCAACCTGAGCCTTTATATTCATGATAGTTCTGTGTCAAGTGTAAAGACAAGTGCAAATGTTTGATGGATAAGCATGGACTCAGAAAATATTTTACTCATGGCCTTTCAGATAATAAAAGAGCAAAACTTAATTGAGGATGTACCACAGAAATAAGAATCCAAGAAATACAGGGACTCAGATATAACACACAATGCAGAGAAAATAAGCCAGGAAAACACAAATTAAATCTGAATCACCCTTGCTTCTTTGGTAGTAAAATATAATATGTTTGCTAATATTATTATTAACAATATTCATCTGGAATTTTCATCCCAGATAACTTCAACACAGTACATAGAATGAACAATTAAAAACCTGATAAAGGCTTTATCTTTTGGATAAGTTGGAAAGTGAGATTATAGAACGTGATTTGTTGATTATAATATTTTAAATTTACATATACTTGCTATACTTTTAAGCTGCTTCCAGAAGGATGAGTGTTCTTTTAGCTTCCAAGTTATTTTCAGGAAGAAATAGAACAAAAATAGTTAGCCCAAACAGACTACTAAATGGGAAAGAGGAGAGTATGGTCAATAGAAAATGGAAAATGACAACAAAAGCTTAGATAGTATATTGAAAACAAATGTTATCGATGGGTTCTGGTTGTCTTTGGCCATTGGGTTACTTTGGACCAATGGCAACCCCGAGGGTTTTCTGAGGGGCAGTCATGACAGAAACAGATCCCCGGGCCTTTTCCTCCATGGAGCTGCTGGGTGGGTTCAAACCAGTCAAGCACAAACCATGGTGCCAGCCAGGGACCAGAGATAGAGGCCTGGCGTGGCTGCCAGCAACCACAGGGCTGCTAATGGCAGGATCAGCAGTATAAACCCACCAGCCCCTCCTCTGGAAAAGGATGAAACTGTCTGCCCTTATGTTACCTCTTAGAAAAGAGAAAATCTGGGTTAAAAATAATCAAGATACACGTTACGGAGAACAAGAGAAATCTTTATAATAAAATTACAGAAATGTTGAAAATGATGGGGTGGAAGCAGACAACAATAAGTAAAAGCAAAACTACTTGGCTATATCAATATAATTCAGAACTTAGAATGTCAAGAATGGAATGACGGGCAAGAGATTTATACCATATTTAGTGGTTGCAAGAGTCACACTTACAGCTGCCATAAACCTCTGTGGTATTGCAAATTGAAAGAAAGTATAAAAAGAATTAGAAAAGAGCATAAACAGAAGAAAAATGATGGTGGTAGGTACATAATATCATGTCAACTTGAAGTGTTGACATGAAATTTGGTGGATTCCAGCCTGTCAATCAGGTCACAGCCTGATAGTTCCACCTTGTGGGTGTGACCTCCTCATTAGGAGGATCCTGGGAACTTCTTCTCTCTCCTTCTCTTCCTTCACCTTCCAGTTGAGGAGCTTTGCTGAGACCTGGAGATGTGACCACTGCCATTTGATCCACAAGACTTTGTGCCCACTGGTCTGTGATCTTCCTGCACTCTGCACCATTGGATTTATGGACTAGTATCAGACTTATGGACTTGATCCGGACTTTGCTGGGATGTTTGCTCAATATATAATTACTCTTGGTATAAAGCTCTCTCTTACACATATATGAGTGTCAATGGATTTGTTTCTCTAGTCAACCTACCTAACACAATGACCAAGCTACAACTATAAAAGGAAGCTTAAACACTTATTGTAAATTGATAAACAACCAAGACAATATTTTAAAAATGAAAAAAACTATTTTTAATTACAACATTAAAAAAAATTGTAGATAAGAGTATGTGCATCAGTCTGTATATTTCAACCTCCCTGAAGAATTGCACCTTATTTTCAAATACCTAAAAATCTCTGGAGGCAGCCATAAACTAGGATCTACATGATGGCAACAAGTTTGGTTTCTGGTCGGGAAGAATTATAAAAACGAATCATATGTTAGATCTCAATAAGATTCTCAACTTTCAAGAATAAAACTAAAATAAAATTAAGTAATGTTTTCAAAGGTGCCTTCTAGATGTTTAAAAAAATGGAGGTAGAGAAAGACATTAAATACTAGAATTAAGATTATTTATATTAGTAATAATTAAGTTATGATTCATTGAAAACATGAGAATATAAGGAGCCCTGGTAGTGTAGTGGTTATATATTGGGGTGGGATCTAAAAGGTCAGTAGTTTGAAACTACCAGTTGCTCATCAGGAGAAAGATGGGGCTTTCTACTCCCATAAATAGTTAGAGTCTTAGAAACTCATTGGGCAGTTCTACCCTGTCCTGTAATATCACTGTGAATCAACATTGACTCTATGGCAGTAAGATGAGATTATAGCTCAAATAATTTTGGGGGAAATATTATAACATTTAACAATCTGTTTAAAATCGTCAAATATGCTCAGAATAATGATTCAAAAGTGGTAGTCAAGAACAACAAAACAGGTTTGTAGAAAGTAAGAGAAAGTGATAATAGATAAAATAAGGAATTGGTATATGAAACAAAACAAAATTTAATAAAAAAAAAACAAGGCCAAATGTTAAAAGGAGACTTGGCCTACACCATCGAGAAGATTTTGGGAAACAATATCAATTAAAAAATTACATGAGTCTTTGGCAGACATAGAAAAAAAGTTG